CATGCATGAAGATGCATGATTCCCATCGCGCTCGCCAAGATTCCCACCGCCCACGACTCGTACCGACAAACAACACGCGTGGTGGTGTAGACGCGATGGCACAGCGTTATGATCGTGTCCCCACTACGCCAAGTGGCAGATATGATAGGAGCTCATATTATCCAGATGAAAGCGTGCAGCAGACTCCTACGTATCCACCAAAGCGGAGGTCGCGCAGAAGCTTACGATCCACTATGCGCCGTGAATCCACAGAAAGTTTCTATTCCGCTGTGAGACATAGCGACACCCCAGGGGATGTCGTTATGGTCGATTCTGCCAACACCACAGCTTTTACACCTCCTCGGCAGTTTGTTCAAGACGCCACCTTGATCGCTGACCAGGACGGGAGGCCCAGTATGAGCATGACTCCAACGTCCAAGCATAACTACAACGGTGATATTGAGCAGATTCAGGCTCCGGATACTTCGAGTCGGAGACGCCCCTTTAGCACTCAATCTCAAATGCCTTCGCGGGGTGTGGTGGTGTTGCATCCGATGCAAGCAGAGCCGGATGACTACCTTCATATCCCGGATAAAAACATTGATGCACATTCGATCCGACCCACTTGGCGCGGCTGCATAAACTTCAGCACTCTTTTCATCATTGCTTGCGCCTTGCTCATGTTGTTTATCGGCTATCCGTTGATTGCCAATTTCACTGATTCGTATAACAATGTGAATGACCGATATATTCATAATGCCAAGTCGCCGCCAATTCCCATGCCCCCGTTGATCGATCCTGCTACTCCGAAAGAAGCCTATTCCAGGCAAAGCCAATATGATCAAAGTGAATGGGACCTTGTGTTCAGCGACGAATTCAACAAGGAGGGACGCACATTTTGGCCAGGTGAAGATCCATACTGGGAAGCAGGTGACTTTTACTATCTTGCCACGCAGGACTATGAATGGTACACGCCGGAAGCTATTCGAACGATGGGTGGGTATTTGGTCATCACTATGGAGAACATTGTGGAACACAATGCAAACTTCCGTTCGGGAATGCTTCAATCATGGAACAAGTTCTGTATTCAAGGTGGATATGTGGAAGCCAGTGTCATTCTCCCTGCTACAGCGACGACGCAAGGGTACTGGCCTGGTTTCTGGATGATGGGCAATTTGGGTCGACCAGGCTATCTAGGAACGACCGATGGAATGTGGCCCTACTCGTACTCCAACTGTGATGTGGGCATTCTTGATGCTCAACAATATCTCAATGGTACAGGGCCGCACGCTGCGATTGATTCATCGAAGAGTTCCAATTCGGCGAAGAACATATCGACATTGCCAGGTATGCGCTTCCCCTCTTGCACTTGCTCGGGTCAAAATCACCCTGGACCCAACCCCCAAACGGCACGTTCCGTGCCAGAACTGGATGTTTTCGAGATGCAGGTCAAACCAAAAAAAGGCACGTATGCCTCACAATCCTATCAGATTGCTCCCTTTGATGACAACTACCGGTGGTATGATAACTCCTCTGCCTATATCATCTACGACAAGGAAAAGACAGAGAGGAATCCATATTCCGGTGGTCCCACGCAGGAAGCCTTGTCGTGTGTATCGAAAGTGCCAGACTCGGCCTTCTTCGGTTCGGATCAAGTGGGATCTGTGATGGGCGTAGAATACATGCCCGACTTTGACCGCAAGGGTCAAGGATATGCCACATGGTATGTGGACGGGAAAAAGACATGGACGTTGTTTGAAACGGCTATGGCCCCCAATGAAAAGACCCAGATTGGGCAGCGTACCTTGCCGCTGGAGCCAATGTCACTGATTCTCAATTTGGGAATTTCTAAGGGATTCCAGAATATTGACTGGGACAATATCGAATTCCCGGCCCACTTGGCCTTTGACTATGTACGGGTGTATCAGAAGCGAGGCGAGCCTCAGCGGATCAGCTGCGATCCTCCGGACTTTCCCACTTCTTATTATATCCACAATAATCTGGACCTGTATTACAACAGCAACATTACAAGTTTCCTCAACTCGACCACCCGGCACAGGACCTGGCCAAAGAATAAATTGAAGGACGGTTGCTAGCGATGTACCATAGTGGCCCCTATGTTTAGTCATCGTCTTCCGCACGCAGGCACCCGTTCCCCTATCTTGCGATACGCAACACGCATGACAGTATAGCGAAATTTGTTTCTGTACAGCTTGCCTTTATGGAGAGACCTGGAGAGACGCAGTCAAGGAGTCCAACGCCGAGGTTATGGTCGAAAGGGAAGCCGTCATCGCTCACTGACCCGCCGGCCCTGGAAAAGCTTAAAATGCACTGGACGTCACATATGGACCAGTACGACATGCTTTCACACCCACAAAGCCAATCGCTTCTACCTTATTTTATTTCTTCTCAGCCTCATAATGAAGCAGTTGAAAAGCAGGGGGCTGGTGGTCCATCTACAATGGAGCCACATCGAAGTCGTCCGAGTGTAGACTGGGCGCATCCTATGATGCCCAACAGACCTTACATGGGGAGTTTGCCACAGCCCGGTCCCTATGGAAAAGACCCGCTCTGGAGATCACAGCAGATTTCCTATCTTCACTCGGCTCAGCAGCATCGCTTTCAAGGACCTTCTAGGAACGACCCCTATGGGGCGGTGCGCATGACACCCGATGAACAGGGCAACCCTCGCCAGTTTTATTGGTATCGCAGAGAGTATGGGCCAAGCTCTTCCATGTCTTCTCCACGAAGTGCACATGATTACTATCGAAGAATGTCGTACGAGCACCCGGTGCGTGTTTTGTACGAGCCATCGTTGCCTGCCATGCAGCGGTACTCCTCGCCTGTGCCGCTCGAGTACGATTCGCCCAGCAGGAGGGACACGTTGCCCAATATGGAAACGGCTGATCTTCAACTAGAAGATTTGAACCCGGCTCGTATCCCTCAGATTGACAGGGATCAATTGCACCAGTATGTCCCGAGTGAACTGCATTGGCTCTTTGAGCCGATCAATACCAAACATCAGCCGCATCTGGACAAACTGCGTGAGAGGAAACGGAAATTGGATGAAGCATGGTCCACAGGGGATATGAGCCTGTCGGAGGATGCCCCCTTAATTATGCAAGAAGCCAGGAACAAACGGAAAGCATCCGCGCAGGGACTGCTTTCGGAGGCAGAAAAGAAAGCCAACCATATCGCTTCCGAGCAGAAGCGACGTTCCAATATTCGCAAAGGCTATGATATGCTATGTAACATGGTCCCTGGGCTGGACAAGAATGCGCTGGAGTCGACGCAAAAGAAGCAGTCTGCCAGTGATGAAGATGCGAATGACCAACGGGGCGGTACCCTCAGTGAAATATCCATTTTGGAAGAGGCCTTGGACCATTTAATATATCGTTTGAAGCACCATCACATGCTCTTGCTTCGCAAATACGAAGCTCAACAGCGAGTTCTATCACAAGGAGGACGAACGCTGGCCTAATGGATGTAGAATGTCTGATATATCATCGACCACAGAAAGCCCCCGAGCTTCCATGACCGCATCGTTCTGAAACTTGGACAGATGTCGGGCACCGGAGTCAGCCAGGATCGTCACCACCACAGGACGATCCTCTGGGTTCGACACTTGCTTCTTCAGGCTGAGCGCTGTCCGTACAGCAGCGACACAGTGCACAGCGGATGAAGACCCGAGGAAGAGGCCGTCGTGTGCAGCGAGCCATCGGGACATGCGCACAGCTTCGTCGTCGGTCACTCGAACAGCCGTGTCAATATAGTCCAGCCCCAGCTCCAGGTTGTGGGTAAGTCGGTTCAAACCAATGCCTTCCACCACTGTGTCAACTTGGTGACGCCGGCGCGTGCCTTCGGCCTCGGTAGCATTGTACATGACACCGAACTTGATACGATTGTATACGCCCGAACCCAACGGGTCGGCGGCCACAGTAAGAGCAGGCGGTGCGACGGCAGGGTCCGTCACCGATTTCAAGTACGCAGATACACCAGCAAGTGTCCCGCCGGTGCCTGCCCCTGCCACAAAGGCATCGATATGGCCGTCAGTTTGGCGCCAAATCTCAGGTCCCGTATTCTGGTAATGCGCATCAAAGTTGGCTTCCGTTTCAAACTGGTCCGCAAAAAAGGCGCGCGCATACGGCTGGTTTTCGCTAGGCGTCCAAGCTTGTGCGCGGGCCCTGGCTTCGTTGACAAACTGGGAGTAAGTATGTAGCAACGTACGTGACGTGGATCGACAATGCCGCGTGGTCGAACGGTCTGGACGACAGCGCCAAGACTCCGGAGCAGCATCGCCTTTTCTTCGGCCACATCATCGGGGACAATGATGCAGCAGTTGTAGCCCTTGGCCTTGGCAAGGGTGGCGAGGGAAATGCCTGTGGAACCCACGGTGCCTTCAAAAATCCAGGAGCCAGTATTAGGAACTAGGAGGCCGTTGTTCTCCGCCTCGGTAATGATCTGTAAAGCAACCCGGTCTTTAGGACTACCGCCTGGATTCAGAAACTCGGCCTTGCCCAGAATTTCACATCCTGTCAAATCGGATAAGCTGGCAATGCGCATCAGGGGCGTATTGCCAATCAGGCCCTCAATCCCAGGCGCAATAGATCCAGAGCGCTTGAGCTCGATTGGCGTAAAGTCCGCATCGGGCTCGCTGATGCGAGGGCGCCGAGGCGCGCGACGAAGAACTTTGCGTCGCCAGTACGTAGTGATCCAGTATTTGTGTAGTTTGGCAAAAGCCAGTGCGCCCAACCCGGTGGCCAGACCTACAACGAAGCCAACGCACCAGTGAGGGCCACGACCCCGCTGGATGTAAGCCTGGATGCGCTCCACGGTCATCGGCATGGTGGCACAGCGGAAGGATGCACGGACCCCCTCCACGACCCAAACAGGCGCACACGTCTACAACGAAAAAAAGAGGTGGAAGACTATCACGAGACGAAAGAAAAGAGGCACTCGTACGTAGAGGCACCAGGGTGGGGAGGTATAATAGTACTAGAGGGGGAAGGTGGGTAAAAAAGTTCCCAATCCGGGAGTCGAACCCGGGCCTTGTCGGCGCCACTCTAAATAGTGAAAGCGACATATACTAACCGCTGTACTAATTGGGACACCCTGCCGGTAGCTCGGCCGACGAAACCCTAAGAAGGGGTGCTTCGGTGGAACGCCTCCCAAAAAAACAAAAAGGTGTTCCCAATCCGGGAGTCGAACCCGGGTCTTGTCGGCGCCACACAGCGAAGCTTATGAGAGCGACATATACTAACCGTTGTACTAACTAGGAGAACCGGTCGGAAATGGGGGTGGAACAAGTCATCATATGGGAACGATTCCTACGTGTGGGCCCCCTGGTGCGTCCCACCCCATGGCGCTAGTGCAGCGAGAACAGACGTCCATAAAAAGGTTTCCTACCGTACACAGTTTATGTAGGACGAGCAGGAGGATGAGAGGCCTTGTGCAGCCACTCGCGCTGTCCGTACGCCACGACGCCCTGCGTGTGTCAGTGGTCTGAAAACGGCCCCAATTTCCTCCTCCACGTACCTGCAACCAGTGTTGGGTGGGCGAGGGCAACAGCGGCAGCTGCACGAGCGCCTGCAATGCCTGGAGACACGACTCCACGATGGAAGGCGCCGGATGCGATGAACACGGTCCATGAGGCTGCTCCAATGAACATGCTTCCATATCCAGCTGCTGAACAGCCCAACCATGGTGCATCGATGCACCCGTGAGCAACAACAGCGCACAGCCCGCCTCGAGTTCGTACAGCGGAACCTGCATCCATGACTGCCCGTGTAAGAGGAGCACCTGCAGCCATTTGCGCACGGTGCGCCGGGCTGAGAAGGTGCCATATCGGTGCATCTCACCCAGCAAGCGTGCTGCGTCCACGATGCACGCGCCCTCCGCCTCCGGGTGCAGAGGCAGCGAATGTGCGTGCGGACTACTCGCTTGGGGTACCTGCAGGTACGTGGACCTCGACACAGTGCCTCTCTCACGCGCCTGAATATCCTCAAACTTGGCGAGCCACGTTTGCTCAAAGAGGAGGCGCAGTAGCGTCGAGGTAGGCACATGATCCGGCACCGGGGCCGCCCTATGTGCCTGGCGCCACACCGACAAGTGGGACGTCGGCAAGAGGCGCGTATCCGTACAAGCTTCCTGGTTCTCCCAGCGCCTCACGTACTCTGTCCAGTGCAGGCAGAAACAGGCCATCAGTGGCGGCCGCACAAACGGGCGCTTCGGGTCCTGCACGGCCATATACCATACGGTATCCGTGATATGGCAGACCAGCTTCCAAGTCAACTCGGCGCCCACCATCGCCGCCAGTTTCTGGGCCCACACGATATGAGGGGCATCTGGCGCAGATGGCACCGCAGCGTGCGAGAGCGCCTGCGTGAGCGAACGCACACGAAAGCTCGGGGGACTGTGCGCGTAATCGTCGGTCGTGTGCGGCTTCCACGCACAGGTGAGCAGGTGCATGACCTGCCGTGCTGCCTGCTTTGCCACATGCGCCATGCGGTGAGGCATTTCATCGCGGAACTCGACATGCGCCGTGGCGAGGCTGGTGAACACAAGGTCCAGTCGCCACGTCAGCTTCTCCAACGCCGCCTGATCACGAGCGAGCAGCGTACTGACGTACGCAAACTGCCACTCTGGGGGAACGGGCGCTGTGCCAATCGGCCGTGCGGTCTTGGCAACAATCGCGCGGATGTCCGCCTCGGGCGGCGATACTACGATCGTCGGCGGCGCTGGGGACGATGGCGGCGCGCATGCTGGCCACATGCGTCCAGGCGTGCGCGGCGTACTCTGACCATGCAAGCGCGAGTGTGTTGGCTGGATAGCCAGGAATGGGGACGATGGGCTGCGAGGGACCAGCGGTGGCAGCGTGCGGCGGCGCGGAATGGGCGCTTTGGGCACGCAAGTCGTACGTGCGCGCTTGGGGCGCGGCGCCTCACGCGCCACATGCGCGCGCTTGCGTTGGGAAAGCATGGTATCACTGCTACTGGACCTGGGCTCGGCCGTGCGTGGCGACGACCAAGGCTCAGGGCTAGATCCTTGGGGGCGAGTAGCGCTGAGCGCCGGCGTGTGCGTGCGGGTGTGGCGTTCTAAGGACGTAAGGGCGTGGCGCCACAGCTGTCGTTCGGTCATGGATGAGAGAAAGATCGAATTACGCCGCGGCCGCTGTGTCGCCCGATCTGCCGCGGCCGCGGGGGCCGATACCAAGGGTGTGCGTGTGCCGCACCGAGGCGGCAGTAGGCGCCCCGTCGATGGCGTGCACCACGAGTGTGTACGTGCCTTGCGCGAGGAAGCACAGTGTCTTGGTGCAAGGCTTATTTGGCTCCAGTGTGGCCTCCCACGTACCATCGGCGACCATGACATGCGTTGTAGCCCCATCGACGCTTGCGTGTGCTTCGAGGCGGACTGACACACGATCTGCACAGGCATAGGATACGCACACTTGCACGGGCACAAGCGCATCCACGTCAGCCGTGGACGGAGCATTGACGTGCACCTGCAGCGTGGGCTGCCGCAGACGCTCCGCTTGTGTAGGCGTTGGCCATGGCGAGCGCAGTGAGATGATACCTTCTGCGCCTGCCTCGTCCGTCCAATGCGCCTGCACGTCGCGCAGAACCTGTTCACGTACCCAGAACTGTTTGCGGCGCTGGGCCTGCGCCTCCTCTGAAAGGCAAGTCTTGGGCACCACATACTGCCGCGCAAGCAGAGCGGGAATGGGCGCATCGAGGGTCGCCTCATCGAGCGCGCGCGGGGCCCACGGCACGCTAATGCGTGTGGTCGAGTGCGGCGGCAATGCGCGCGACACGCGCAACGGCGGCCCGTTTGGTGTGGCCAGCACGCTGATATGCGCATGCCTTCTCGTGTCCGAAGGATTGTGCAGGTCCCAGCCGAGAAGCACGCCGTCGGTCCATGTCTCGGTGGCTGGCGCACTTAGCGTACGTGCGAGGCGCTCTGCCGTGGTACCTGCCACCGTCTGCACATGCATGGCCCCTACTTCCACACTTGGCCCCATGGAGAGGGGGATCGTGAGCTCTGTCGTACGCAGGTACAGTGGATCTTCGTTCGTAGCACCGTACCACACATGCACACGCGCCCATGGGCAATCACGCCGTCCACGAACGGTGACACTGACATCGACGGAGGTATGTGGCGCCAACGTCTGCGGCACGTCCGCCCCTGGCTCGAGCGAAAGGACGGGCGCATGAAGAAGCTGCCACTCTAGCTCGTGCACATCGCCTGTAGCGCGATCTCCTTGGGCGATGGCCTCGCGCATGGCCGCTTGCGTCGGGTCCTCCAACTCGAAGCGCAACGTGTGCACAGCCACGTCACTTTCGTTGGTGATACGCACCACCACCTTCTTGGTCTGCCCCTCGAGCAGCGACAAGGCCGCCCCATACGCGCCCACCAGCGTGGCTTGCACGTGCGGAAGCGCAGGCAGCACACGGCCCACGAGCGCGGGCGACGCGCGCGTGAGCGATGCTTCGAACGCTTCCACCGAGGCAGGGCGTGTCACGGCCACGGACCGTACCAGAGCCGCAGCGGGGCGCGCCGCTAGACCACTTTGACGCACCTCCTCGGCGCTGGTACGGTCGGGCATCGAGAGCTCGTACAGCTCCGTGCCTTCCAGTCGCGCCATGCACCCTTGTACTTGGAGCTCGCCAGGAGCTTGCGGCACAATGTGCAAGGGCGTCACGCTCGTCGTACTTGGCGCCAGTGTTAAGGACGTGGGCGTGGCCTCGACACGCACTCCCGTCGTGCGCAGCGTCACATCGTGCAAGCGCAGCGGCACCGACCAAGGGTTGTGCCACGTGACATCGATAACCAACGGCTCCCCTTCCATCCAGGGCGGCTCGGGGCGCGTGTGCCGCGCGGATGCCGACGACGAAGCGAAGGAGGCTTGGGAGCGCAGGATAGGCGCGGCGAGCGTAGGACGAGGGCGTACCGACATGGCACGCAACATATCGCGGGGCCCCCACCACCGCAAAGTCAGATCCGGGGCGCCATGCCACTGGGCGCGGGGCAAGGCGTCCCGCAAGCCTCGGACGACCGCCGCGAGGTCGTGCGAAGCGAGGCCGCCATGACGCAAGAGGAGCGCCGCGAAAAAGACTTGACCGATGTGCTCCTGCACACTCTCACACTGTACAATGAGGTCCTTGAGCAGCTGCCCTTGCAGCTCGCGCCACCCAAACGCAGGCCGTGCAGCTTGGTATCGTGCGACCGCCGCACTGGCACTCAGCGCAGGGAGCCACATTTGCGCTTCTTTCACGCCCAGCACACTGGCAAGCAAATCGGTATACGCATGCGCACACACGCGACGGCGCGCTCGCTCGAGAATGTGCGTGGGCGGCACATGCAACAGGGGTGTTGTGAGGATATCGAGGCCATACGCATCGCACGCCACGAGACCCAGCACGATCGCCGGGTTCGCATGCGCGTACATTGCATCGTTGAAGCATTCCACGTGAGGCAGCGCACCGGTGGATGAGCGATGCGTGTCCAACCCGTCCCAGGCCACCGGCGGCGTACGAAGCGTAGCGCGTGCGGTCAACGTTTGCGCCAAGAGCCCACTGACAATCGCGCTTAGCACACGCGCCATATGCGCGGCGCTACGTGCCCAGCCAACGAGGCTCAGCATATGGTACATCGCACTGAAGATAAACAGCTGATCCGACGCTGGAAGCAGGTGCAGCGAGGATGTACACGCCATGTGCACCGCGGCAGCGATTTCGTGGCGGTACACGCCCGAAGTGGCGGCGAGATGCGCATGCTCTGTCAATGTGAGCGGCACACCGGTGTCCAACGCGGGCGGCACACCGCCATAGACGAGCTGATCAAACGCCTCGCCATTCCACCCACCCGAGGCAAACAGGGCCAAGAGGAAGCGCGCGTACGACAAGCACGCTGTGGCATACACCCAGGGCGGCGTGTAATCACGCGGCGTCTCGTTCGTCATGGAGCGCGCCGACTCCCACTGGACGTGGGGCGGGGCCAAGCACTGCCGGTAAATGGTCAGTGCAAGTCCATACGCTTCGGCCACGTCGCGCCATGCCTGCGACTCGGGGCCCGGCTCACGCATTTCCTTGTCGCGGCCAGGCGTAAGTGG